TGTCGGGACAAATTTTTTTTTTTCATTTGATAGTATATAACATAATCTTTGATTTGATATATGTTTAAAGGACGCAGTATTTCTGGAACACTTTTAAAAGTTAAGTTGAAAAAGTTCTATTTTTTATACAATATTTCAAGTTTTGAAAAATATGGGGAAATTGTCCAATTTTAATAAAAAGTTTGTCAAATGAAAGATGCACTTATAATGTATTTAGAAAAAAAAAATTGTGCTGATAATTACATTTTTCGAAAAGTTATAGCACTTTTAAGTTGAAAATTTAAAATCGAAAATCGAAAATTTTAACACAAAAATAGTGTTTTTTTAACTACGGCAGCCGTTTAAATGTAGAAGAAAAAGTGTCGGGACAAATTTTTTTTTTTCATTTTGTAGTACATAAAATAAGCTTTAATTTGATATATGTTTGAAGGACGCAGTATTTCCGGAACATTTTCAAAAATTAAGTTGAAAAAGTTAATTTTTGTAAAAAAGTTGCCATTTTAAATCACACCCAATGAGCGGGTTAAGTGATAGATTTTTAAAAAAATGATATCAAATGAAAGGTAAATATCTAAGGTTTTAGTATAAAAAAAAATTATGTTGATTTGTTGATTTTTCAAAAAGTTATGGAAGTTTTAAGAAAAAAAAGTGAACAAATTTCGAAAATTAGCGATTTTTAAATTTGTAATTTTTTTGGATATTTCCCCCATTTGCGGGGAACGAGGAAATTTTTTTTCAATTTTTAAGGGTAATGTCTTCAACTAGATACGATTTGTGATCTTTTAACGTATTTTTGAAAGAAATCGGTCCAGTGAGAGCTGAGAAAAAGTGGCAACAGACATAAAAAAAAAAAAAAACTCATCATAGTAAAATTAATACCTTCTCCGCTTCGCATCGAAGCTAAAACACACATGGTGGTAAAATCAATTCCTTCTCAGCTTCATATCGAAGCTAAAAAATTCTATTTTAATTGTGCATTTTTTTATCTTTGGAGTAACGATACCCATAACTTAGGGATGGACTCAAGTCAATTTTTCAGGATAGTATTTTTAAAGTTTTCTTATAGGAATTTTATACTATACAACAATTAATCAATAAATACACTATATAGTTGCATTAACAGACGAATTTTTTAGATGCATTTCTCAACTACCAAGTCCAAAAATTTGCGGTCTTGTTTTATCTAATTTTCATGTGTTGTATCGCCACGTGAGCGTCGTCATTTACTAATGTTTCGTATGGTGATGCAGCGATAGTAGAAGGAGGTGTATAGTAGACGGATTGCACAATAATAATTTATATTATTGTACAACGTGAGTTCTCACTGATCAACATCCCCGCCGGCATTCCACACATTCCTTCAGTCGTCGCTCGTATGTCACATACGGTCTAACACGGGCGCTCATTTAAGCTCTGGTTAGAGTTTTGGTGGTTTGCGTGTGCTTCGGTCGTCAATGACTTAACGGCCATCTGGCTACATTCCCTCTTATCCCCAGGAGCAGCAGTTGGGATAACACGCTACAACGCCACCGGGGCGAATCCGGTTTTTCTCATAAAGTAGTCCTACCAGTTCCAATATAAAACTTGCATAGTTCCTCAACATAGAGTACCGTATATTCCCTTTTAAATGAACTTATTAATCTTTGATTTAATAAATTTATGATTTAGTATAGTTTCAGGATATATATATGGATATTTTTTTGAAAAAAAGAAAAAAATTCTAGCTTAAATTGACAATATTACATAAAAATGATTGTTTACTTAAAATTAGTTGTTCATCGTTTTAATCGATAACAAAAGAATAGAATTTAAAAACCCGTTTACGACTAGGTAAAAATTTTAGTAAAAAAATTTAAACGAACTCTAAGAAAAACTAGATTCATCGTATATTTGTGTTAATTAACCGTGCAGTTATTTTTCGACTAGTTTTAATTATCTCGTTGTGGTGGGGGGACATTGGAATGTTGTAGCAATATGGCGGCGGCCATGATAATGGCACACTCAACAACGTTGACTCTTTGTTTTCATTTCTGATATTACATTTTTTTCTGTGCCGCTGTCTTTTTTTACGATTACGTGTGTTAAATGTCTATTAGCGTAATCCCTGTGCATTAACCAAACAGCTGGATATAAAGTTTTGTCTAAATGTTCGATAAGTGTTGTGTTCTTCACGTTAAATCTAAGGCTTTTAGTGGATACTTTACTTAACAGGTCTCGAGTATCAACAGAATAACGATGTACCACCGGCTGTAAAGTCAGTACATAGTTTATTATTAACATTGCTTTATCAATAACTTATTGTATTATTTTTCCGTCGAAATTTAGTGAAGTTAAAATTTTACCTGGACTTTTAAGTTTTTCTTTAATCATGGGTCATTTCTTGTAAAAAAAAAATTATACTAAATATGTTTGAAAATTGTAGAACAATTAGATGACCAACATTTGACCTATTTGCCGATAATTTATTTAGGAAATTAAGTTAATACACCAGATTTGGAATTTTATGTTTTATTTTAAGAAAAAATATTATGCTCTTATATTAATATTGCCTATCAAACTTCATATTTAATTATTTGCTAAAAATAACTACAATTTTTAATATTTTTTAGACTTTATCATTTTTTAGATTGCTTTTAAATCCCTTAACAGTTAGATTAAATTAATTTATTCTAGAAAATATCTTAAAAAAATTTAAAAATTGGAAATATAATGTTTTTGAAGTATTTAACTACAATTTCATTTTAACATGTTATCGCCAAATGTAGTTAGTAATATATAAACTTCATATGATTTTAAAATTAGGTTAAATTGATGTATTTTCTTTTTATAGTTTCATATGCATTGTATTATTGTGTGTATTAGTACACTGAAAGAATATAATATTGAAAATAGTCTGGATTTATTTTAGTATATTTAATAATTAATTTAAACAATTTTTTTTTAAATTTTCATTTAAGTTAATTAAATTATTATTTTTAATTAAATAGCTTAGTTTTAATTATTAGATTTTTTAAATTTACAAAAAAAAAATACCAATAATTTTTAATGATAATTTATAAATAATACATATATTAACTGAAATTTTAGTTAGTATTAAATTAAACAATAAAGTTTTTTTTTGTTTTANGGAGGGTAAAGTTTTTTTTTGTTTTAATAATTTAGTTTGATTTTTTATAATTTTGCAAATGTAATTCAAATTTTTAATGGAGTAAATTTATTGAATTCTTTAAAAAAAATTGATTGTCATCATATTTTTAAAATCAAAACATTCTTGCATGCTGAACAGGAGAACTTGAAGGCTTAGTTTTACATAATTTGTAAAATTTAATTTTAACTCCTTAAAATTTTCTACTAAATTATGCTTATGTTATGATTTTAATTGAATAAACAGAAACAGGCAGTTTTATCTTGCTTTGATTTTTAATGTTTATTATTTAATAAAAATGTTTGTTAAAATTTAATAAAAATATTGCTAAGTAATTTTATAATATAAAATTATAAATTATTTTTTCAGGTGTTCAAACAGCTTTTAAAAATACAGTCCATTATAGAGCTTAAAAGTTGTTAAAAATCTATTTTATCAACCATGTAACTAGTTTTGATTATTATTAAACATACACTGTGCAAAAAAAAATGTGATGCATCTGATCGCATAGCCTGTGTGTCCTCGGCCCCCACTTAGCCATGGGCCGCCCGAGGAAGCTGTCGCCAGCATGAATTCTGCGGCACCTGCATCGGGCAAACCATCCACCCGATCATCGTCGTCAGGCTATCACCAAAAGGCGTTAGCTGAAATCCGTAACTCATTACTGCCCTTTGCAAATATTGGTGGCTGTGATAGCAGTGCAGCCAGCTGTGTGTCCAGCATATCAAGTACTTCTGGATCTGCTACTTCAGGCATTGGATCTGTATCTGGTCTTAGTTCTATCTCCAATAATTGTGTTGATAAAGAGCTAAATGCTTTAAGACAAACGCTTACTCAATTAATTGCCATGGGATATACTGAAGTAAGTTAATTATTATTCTATAGATTATAAATCTAATTAAGTTATTAATCTGATATAAAATAGACTAACTCATTTTCAATCTTAAATCATTAAACCATAATCAATGAAACATTAAAAAATATTCCAATATTACTACTTATTGATAATATATATTACTTAAACTGGTATACTTTTATAAGAATATTGTTTGTAACATACAGTGAAGTGTGGAAAAATGTAAATGATTGGGGTAATTGTAAAGAATTTTTTTCTCAAAGAATATTTAGCATTTTTTTTTTAAATTAAAAAGTATTCGTTCTTATTTTTGCTGTAATCATATTAAATCAGTAAGTTTGATATAAAAAATCATGTATTTGCAATTCAGCATTTCAATCTAATCATGATTAAAGTCTGGAAAACTTTGAGAAGTTGTGTAATTTTAAAATGATCAGGGAAATCATGGAAATTTCAAGGATTTATAATATTTAACCTGAAATTTTTTAAAATTGATTAAACTTATCATATATTTAAACTATAAATGAAGGAGTTCAAACCTTCTATTAGAATTTTTTTATAATTTGAGAGCAACACTAGTACAATAATAGGGACTACTTAACCAACAAGTTCAGAAATTATTTTCTGCTCTCTCCAAACAAATTTAGAGAATAATAATTATTGTAATATAAATAAATTATAATTATTAAGTATCCTGCCCAAGTATGCTTTTTAATTAGTAATCTCTTACCTTTGGATAGATTAAAAAGTGTTTTTAGAATTCGTCACCTATTTCAAAATTTCAATTAGTAAACAGAACAATAAACATATTGGGAGGATTAATAAAACTACACATAATTAATGTATTTCTTAGCTCCTTCAACTATATATGGAACTTTTTTAATTGACTGATATAGTCAAACATTTGAAAATTTTAAATTAGTGAAAACGATGATAATTCTTGCTATGTAAAAATTATTGAAAATGTTTGTTATAGCTATATTATATTTCACCACAGTCTAAAGAGAATTTGTTTTATTAAAGTATATTAAACAATACATTTTTTCAACCTATTTATCATAATGTATCATTGTACAAATCGTTTAGCTTATTTCTCAATTGAAAAACGAAATGTTCTAAAACATTTATAAATAATATTTAGTAAAAACCAACGCCAGATTAATTAATTAGAATACACATAGATTAGAAAAATTATCAATCCCAACCCAATCAACATTATTAAAAGAACTATAATACTATGTAAAAACCGGAAATATTTAGAGATTGTTATATTTTATTTAAAAAAATTAGTTCACATTTTTAAAATTTATGGAAGACATTTTATTTATAATATACATTTTGTTCTAGGAAGCATCATTAAGGGCACTTAAAGTATCTGGAGGACGATGTGAAGGTGCCTTAGATTTTTTAGCCAAACAACAACAGTGTGATTTGCAAAATGGTTGTAGCAAATCATCTTCAGGTAGTTTGAAATTCATCTTATTATTTGAATATTTTACAATTAGCTTATAAATTCTTATAGGGTTATGTAGCAATAGTAATAAATTAATAAGGAAATCAAGCTTGGAAAGAAGTGGAGTTGGTCCTAGGAGTAGTCCTGGCCAAGATAGTGGTGCAGGAAGTTCAAGGTCTGATAGTCCAAGACAACCCGATCTAGTCATTCACTCTCATACTCCTTTGTCTCGCCAATATTCTCCTTCTGCTTATTCTGAAACACCACCTCCTCCTCCACCCAGAAATAATAGTACACCTCCGCCTCCTCATGTCCCTACTCATATGCAACAATTACTTAAGCGTATGTCACCAGCCCCTGCTGTTCCATCAAGACCACCTGCTCCAACCCCTGGAACTTCAGCTAGTAGCTCTAATCAAAGAGTTACATCTCCTATGGTAGTTCAAAATGGTCCACAAGCACAGCAGCAATTATCACAGCAGATTCAAGCTTTAAGTATGACAACTTCAGAGCCTCCACCTCCATATCCTCTTGTTGGTGCTCCACCTCCTCCACCTTCATATTCTGCTTCAATTCAAGAGTACAGAAAATCACCTTCATCTGGTGTATTTTCATCTGCCGGCTCATCTAGTCCTGTATCTGTATCAACAAATGGTAGCGTGTCATCTTTAACTCGACCTACTCCATTGCAAGCTTGGGGAGCCAGACAAACTAAAACACAATCACCTATTATAATGCAATCTGTACGGAGTACTTTGGTTCAAAAACCTATTTTACAAACTGCTGTTGCTCCTCAATCACCAGCACCTACATCTCCATCACCAGTTCCACCACCATCATATGCTTCATCAATTCAACAAAAACAACAAGCTCAAAAAGCTGTTCAACAGCCACAACAAGCATCGTTATCTTCACCATCAGCAGTTGTACCAACAACTGAACCACCTAGTTATGCCAGTACAATGCAAGCTTTGGCTGCTCAGAGAGTAATAACTAACCCATTACATCCACCACCACCTTATGCTGAGGAACATCCTCACAGAAAACCTACTCCTCCTCTACCTCCTATACCATCATCATCTGTCAATAAAAATAAAATATTGAATTGTAACAATCATCATCATCACTTTAACAATAATGGTATTACTAATGGACTAGATGATGAAGATGACAATCAGTCTAAAATTGACCATCAGTCTCCAATTCCTGAACGAAAACACATCAGTAAAGAAAAAGAAGAAGAAAGGCGAGAATGTAAAGTAAAAAATTATTCTCCTCAGGCATTTAAATTTTTTATGGAACAACATGTTGAAAATGTCATTAAATCACATAAGCAAAGGGTTTTTAGAAGGGTTCAGTTGGAAACAGAAATGGCTAAAATAGGTTTAAGCGAAGAAGCTCAATGTCAAATGAGAAAAATGTTATCACAGAAAGAATCAAATTATATTCGCTTGAAACGAGCTAAAATGGACAAATCTATGTTTACTAAAATTAAACCCATTGGAGTTGGAGCTTTTGGTGAAGTTACATTAGTTAGAAAAATAGATACTAATCATTTATATGCTATGAAAACACTTAAAAAAGCTCATGTTCTAAAACGTAACCAAGTAGCACATGTTAAAGCTGAGAGGGATATACTTGCAGAAGCAGATAATGAATGGGTTGTCAAGTTGTATTATTCATTTCAAGATAAAGATAATCTATATTTTGTTATGGACTATATTCCAGGTGGTGATTTAATGTCATTGCTAATTAAATTAGGAATATTTGAAGAACACTTAGCAAGGTATATGTTTTAATTAATACATCAATTTTTTATTATCTATTAGTTAATTATTTATTTTTATTAGGTTTTACATAGCAGAATTGACTTGTGCAGTTGAGAGTGTACACAAAATGGGTTTTATTCATAGAGATATTAAACCAGATAATATATTGATTGATCGTGATGGTCATATAAAACTCACAGATTTTGGTTTGTGCACTGGATTTAGATGGACTCATAACTCTAAATATTATCAAGATGGTAAAAATTAATTCTTTTAGAATTTCTAAAAGTAGATTTTTATTTATTATTTATAATAAATATATTATGTTTAGGTGAACATTGTAGACAAGATTCAATGGGAGGAGAAGAATGGGGTATTACTGGTGCAGAATGTCGATGCCATCAATTAAAACCTTTAGAAAGACGACGTAGAAGAGAGCATCAAAGATGTGAAGCTCATTCTTTAGTTGGCACACCTAATTATATTGCTCCAGAAGTTTTACTTCGTACTGGTTACACACAACTTTGTGATTGGTGGAGTGTGGGAGTAATACTCTATGAAATGCTTGTTGGATCCCCTCCATTTCTTGCTAATACTCCAGCAGAAACTCAATATAAAGTAAATCATTTAATTTATTTAAAACAGTAGTAAATTAACAATTAAAAATTGTTTTTCTAGGTCATTAACTGGGAAAATACATTACAAGTTCCACAATCTGCAAATTTATCACCAGAAAGTGCTGATCTTATTTTAAAGTTATGTACTTGTAAAGAACGTCGATTAGGTAAAAATGCTGATGAAGTCAAAGCACACCCTTTCTTTGCAGATTTAGATTTTGAACGAGGAATGCGGCGTCATAACCCTCCTCATGTACCAAGAATTCAATTTTCTACTGATACATCAAACTTTGATCCAATTGATCCTGAACGTCTACATAACTCAGATTCATCAGATTCCGATAACAGGATATCTGACTCTGATAACAATCGGCCATTCCATGGTTTCTTTGAATTTACTTTTAGAAGATTTTTTGATGATGGAGGGGGACCATCATTCCACACTCGAATAAGTCTAGATGACAATGATGGTCAAGGTGCTGTTTATGTTTAAATTTGATATAATAGCGCTTTGTTCATGGTCTTTCTAGAAAATTGAATAAGCAATATACAAAGAGTTATTGTAGAAATTAATCTTCAAAAATTATTAAAAATCAGATACATGTAATTACAAGTTTTATGAAAACCTTAGACAAGTGATAATAAGAAAGAAGCGGACCAAAATATTATAATAAAACTCGCAACAAACCTATTTACTGTTTTATAATTTATTTCTTGCTTTTTTTTGCATCACAATTCTCTGACGAAAGCTCAGGTTAGGCCATTGTGCCGTTTTAGGAACTTAAGCCTAATTTAGTTACCAAAATATTCTTCATATTCTAGTTTTTTTAGAGCCGTTATATTAATTTATTGTTTACCTTTCTTCAAATCTAACATTGCTAACTTTTATACATTTCTCTAAAATGAAATATTTATTTTTTATTTTTTTGATAAGAAATAATTTTTTTTCTTAATTATTTTTCATTTAAAACCAAATTTATATATATACAACAATAGAACCATTTATTTTTCAAACGGGCTGTGCAAAGTGACAGGGATATTTAATTTGATAATGAGCTTTGAAAATTAATATATTTATAAATATTTTTCTGTAAAAAAATAATAAAACAAAATTATTTTTTAGACAGTTACCAAATTATAAATTTATATTTAATATATATAAAAAACTAATATGTATTTTTATGGTGTTAGATAATTAAGACACCTGCTCTCTTTATTTTCTCTCTTATTATGTATTGGTTGTTTGTTTTAATGATCTAGTTGAATTTGCTCAATTCAATTATGTTTCGGCATCATTTCAATCGACTTGTTTGCAATCGTCTGTGATAAGCGATTAATTAGATAGAAAAATCTAATTACAATTTGGCTAAAATGATGCCAGCCTTATGTTTATTTACAGATCTGCTTAATGTTTTATTATTTATATGAATTTAAATTTATTATGTATTATATTTACTCAATTGTATTGTAAAGAGGGTGGCATAAAATATATTATGTCATACTGTATATTTTTATTATTATACATAATTTTTTTTAGAAAAAAGTGATATGTGAACATAATTTTGATGTATATTTTTTTATTATAAAACAACAATAACATTATTTTATTGAACATTAAATTTAATTTTTACTTTCCTTTCTTTCTTCCTTTTTTCTTTTTTTTTTTTTGAACTTGTGGCCATGGAAATCCGCGACATTTAAGTAAATCTTGTACATTGTGACATGTATGATATGCATTGTCCATAGCATTCTCATTGAACACGTCAACCAAATTTCTTGATTTTTTACCTTCTTTTCTTGTTTTTACTGTCGTACAAATTGCACTTTTTTTTGTTTTTTTTTCATCTTTCAATGGTTTTTTTTTACTATAATTTTTTTCACTCATTTTCTTACATGAAATCTAAAATGTAATAAATAATTTTCATAATTATGTTAACTAGTTAAAAATTATTTATTTAACATTTCATCTTCTATAACTGACAAATCTGTCATTTGTTTACCTGTTTAATTGTATAAGAAATGTTATTGTTAAAAATTATACATTATATTATCCCATTGTTCCTGAAAAATGTGTACCTACGAGTGAAATGTATTTTATTGATTGCTGCATAAAAAAATGGGTGGGATCTATGTAGTTATCGTTACTATGCCAATATTATAAAACACATATTAAAAGTGTTTCAATTTTGAAAATTTTAAAACTAAATAGATTACTTAGTTTTATTACATGACTAAAATTTAAAACTGAATATGATGGAAAATATCAGAAACGAAATTCGGAGTCTGTCACAAATTTCTTTACAGAATTCATCTAAAAATTGTAAATAACCAAGTAGCTGTTGTGTATTATTAGTGACTATCAGGAACTAGAATCGAACGCAAAAAACTGGTACCCTTAAAAACCGAAACTTTATGAAAATAATAGTTAAGGTTTTGGTTCCATTAATATTAGTTATACTAAATTTCAAAATTATAAATTGTGGTATAAATGAAGTTATTTAAAATAAGTCCACATTAAGGAATTTTACAACCCCAAATAACCTTTTTATTTTAATTATCAAAGTTATTTTTTCAAGTTTTATTAGGTTTATTTGAATGAGTAAAAAAAAATGCTTCATCTCTAATTTATATTGTTTCATATTATTGCAGTGCTGTACGGGATACATGTAACCAGCATCCCCTTCATATTCAGATCTACTCGTGACAACAATTGTCATTTAAGTAACTAGGTGATGACTGAAAATCGATATAATGATTCCATTTTTGAACGCGATTTATAACATTAACTATTTTTGCCAATGATAAGTTCTAAGCCAGTGGTGATTAAATGAAAGGGGATTAGGGGATAGATCCTCCCCATTGACATACCCTATTTGACATTTCTGTATAATAAGCTGTACCCATCCGCGCTATATACTTGATCTATTTACTAATAAGCTTGGAACTAAGTACTAATCCTCAAGTTATTATGGACACAATCAAAGGTTTTTGTAAAATAAGAATAAATTATAAAATTAATTTTTATATTTTTCATGTAATAAAAACCCAGCATAGTGGGAACGTGGCATAGTTGAGACAAGTATAGATGATATCTATAGTGATTAAAATCACTATCATAAGAAACGCTTCGATGCAAATGTGTAGATAGTGTTTAATTTTAAGAAATTGGTAGATTATTTCAAAAGCAACAATAACTATTATTCCCTTATTTTTATCCTGATTAGTTATTTTATTTATAGTTATAATATATGAATAAATAATAATTAAATTTAGTATGGTACTGATATTCAATAATTTAATATTGTAATTTTTACGAAGATACAAAAATAATATAGTAGTTGCATATTTCGTTACTTTTAACTCGTATACAAATTTTAAGGGATTGATGCAATACTTTTCAATAAAAAATTTTTGTTTCTTATAACAATAAATTTGTAATATTATAGTCTAGTAGTAGTACACACAAATAGAGTAAAAAAATTATTAAATTACAAAGTAAAATAATTTAATTTTGTAGTTGAAACATATCATATCAAACTTGATTCGTCAATAAATACTTTGAAAACATTATAAATAAATGATTTTAATTGTCTGTATGGATAACATGGGATAAGAAACTGTTTAATTGATAAATTAGGATTTTTTTTTCAATTTTTGAGGGTAATATCTTTAACTAGATACGAATTGTAATCATTCAACATAACGTTGAAAAAAGTAGGTCTATTGAGAGAGGAGAAAATAAATAATAGTCACAAAAAATATCTTCTCAGCTTTACATCGAAGCTAAAACCTAAAATATAGTATAATAATTTTAATATGAATAAGAAATTTCTTCTCACGAGGGGCGACTACAGTGATGGGATCCTTGATCTTTATTGAAGTTATTTTTGTAACTAAATGAAATAAAAATCAAATGAATTGAAAATTTATTCTAACTTAAAAAGAATTAAGAAAAAAATGCAAGAAAATCCTTGCCGTACACGGGTTGGAGGAACTTTGTACCCCAAGCGCGTAAGACACAAGTTTTACTAACTCGACATACGTACGTCGTTTCCGTTGACTGAAAAAAAGCAAAAAAATTTAATTAAGTTTAACTTTCTATGTTATATCAATTTGATTTAAATAATATTTATAAAAATCAGTGTATTTCCCATGCCAGGTATTTTAAAATAAAATAAAATACAAAATGGAAAAATTTAACAAAAAAATAGCATAGTTTTGCATACGGTAGTCATTTTTACAATGAAGACAAACTCAGAGGTCAAATTTTTTTTTTCAAATTAAAGTACATTACATGAGCTTTAATTTAAGATATATATAAAAGTGTCAGTATTTTTGGAACACTTTCAAAAATTAAATTGAAAATGTAAATTCTTTGTGAAAAGTTGTCATTTTGAAACCCCCCTGTGGACAGGTAAAAGGTCATATTTATAAAAAAAAATTATATTGATTTGTTCATTTTTGAAAAAGTTATGAGTTTTAAGAAAAAAAATTGAAAAAATTTCGAAAATTACTGATTTTTAAAATTGTAATTTTTTTAAAGATTTCTCCCATTTACGTGGAACGAGGGAAATTTTTTCAGTTTTTGAAGGTAGTCTTCGACTAGACACAATTTGTGATCTTTTTATGTTATCTTCTAAAAATAAATTTATAAATTATTTAGGTAAACTAAAATCATTGTATTTTTATTCATAGCGTCTATCTTATCTTATTTATCAATCCAATCTATAGAAGTAAAATAAATGATTAGTTACCAAAATTCGACAATATTTTTTATAAATTATCAATGAAAAAATTTTGGCTTTTAAGGTAGTTGGATTCACAAAACGTTATCACGTCAATTTAATAGAAAACCATTAATCAGGTCCGGATTAAGGAGTGAGGGGTCAAATTTTAATATCCTGGTCACAATTAGTAATATTTTTTTGGTTTATTTTGCTTATTTTGGGAGGATTAACCACCCAATGATTTCGAACCATTATCTCAGTATCAACACATTACTAAGTTTTCAATTTAATTAAGAAAAATTTGTTCTAATTGATGATGTATTATTTACTATGTTCGGGAATAACATAACAAAATTTATAAATGATTATAATCCTTAGTTCTAGTTGTAAATGTATTAAACAAAAACAGTACTACCAACTTTAAGTAGTAGAACAATTAAAGGTCAATAGCATGGTTATACTGTTATTAGCCTTGTGATAATAATAATCTGATGAAATCACTATAAGAAGTATTCTATTGTTCATACTATTAAATTTGGTGCTTGCTGCTTATTAAATTTTGTTTCTTCTATCCCTGTGTTAAATATTTGAAATAATTTCTTTTAAAGTAGTATAATTATTATTTTTAAATTATAAGATTAAAAAAAAAAAATTGAGTATGTGGAAATTTAATTTAAGGCTTAAAGAAAGTATTTTTCGATGGTAGGACATGCTGGCGTCACCACCGTTGCCGATATCTACCATCCGCGCCGGACTCCGTTGTCTTCGCAATATGTCGAAATTTTTATGTGATATTTATATTTTTATTTATAAATAATAAGTTAGTGTAACTAAATTACAACACTTTTTAGCTTATGACAATTTCTTAATATCTTTGTGTCCTAACAATAAGCTCTTCATTTCATAGTTGTTAAATTTGAATGAATTTTCTATTTTAAATTTATTTAAAAATATTTTTTTGACTAAATGAAACCTAAATTAAAAATAATTAAAAGATATATTGTAAAAAATACAACTTTTGGTGACACGCTGAAGTGATCATGAACATTCTTGGCTCTAGAACAGCAGCGACAGTAAATCGCATTCCAGACATGGGACAACCTTCTAAACCATTAGCTAATTCTACTCCAGTGGCAAAATCAATGTTTGAACATGTTAAAATTGAACACATGTTAGCTGGCTTTACAGGTGGCGTTGCATCAACTCTTGTACTACATCCTTTAGACTTACTGAAAATACGATTTGCTGGTTAGTGTGAAATTTAATCCATATTTAGAAAATATAGTATGCAGGACTCTATGTCTAAGTAATTTAAATGCTAAAAATTTATTGAAAAGTACTAAAAAAAAAATTTCTATGGCAAAATGATCTTTGTGCTTTTACCAATTCTATGTATTAACACTGTAGCGGATTTTTTTTGAGGTACCTCTTATAAATAATATATATTTAAAATATGTATTAGAGCCTTTTTTTATATATATATAAATATTGATGTGATAGACTGTCCAAATTTTTTGAACATTCCTATTTAATCTATTACTATGTTTATAATATAAAATAGGCTGGGTCAATATGCAATCTGATACTAAATATTGACTAATATATGTGATATTATCAAATAAATTTTTTCTTAATATGATATTCATATTATTAAGAATTTTATTAAATTTTAATAATCAGGATAGATCAACCTTGAAAATAATTTAATATTATCACACATTATATTTTTACAAATAATTTTAAATAGTGTTATATACCTCTATTCTAGCTTAACTATTTGATCTTTTATATTTACTTTGTTTTACATCTTAAACATTTTTCAACTTTAAGATAAAAAGTTTTTAATTTTATGTAAATAATATAATATATGTTTTGTAATATATTACAAAACATTGTTATTATTATTATATTATTCATATGAAATTGATCTTATTGTTGATAACTATTATATTATAATAGTTATATATTTATAATAATTATTTGCTTTTGCTGCATTGGATTGGTTTGATCATATTTAGCGGGCTGGTTAGAGTCATCACTAACTATCCAAATGTAGATGCTATTTTAAGAAATTCCCTATATAGACCTAATAACTTATCATGTCATAACAGCTTGCAATAAATTAAAGTTAAATATTATTTAAAACAATGATGTAATATGTTAACAAAATATTGATTAATGTTGGTCAATACTTCAATTATATAACTCTTATCTAGTACTAGTAATGAGGTTTTATTTAATTTATTACTACAACTATTATGAACTTTATTAGTTGTTATGTATGTATGTTTTTTTTCTAGTAAATGATGGTAGAAATACTATACCAAGTTATGCTGGATTGGGAAATGCTGTAACTACAATATTTAGACAAGAAGGAATTAGAGGACTCTACAAAGGAGTAACACCGAATGTTTGGGGGTCAGGAAGTGCATGGGGTTTTTATTTTCTCTTGTAAGTGTGTAAGGATACCTTATGCAATATTTAATTTCTTAATAAAAATGTTTTTAAATTCTAGTTATAATTCAATTAAAGCTTGGATTCAAGGTGGCAATACAAAAAAACCATTAGGTCCTGCACTTCATATGACAGCTGCTGCTGAAGCAGGAATTCTTACTTTGATCATGACAAATCCTGTGTGGGTTGTTAAAACGCGTCTTTGTTTACAATTTGACCAGCCAATTGACCCTAAAAAAAGTTATAGTGGTATGTGGGATGCATTTCGTAAAATTTATACTGCTGAAGGCATACGAGGCTTATATAAGGTATTATTTTGATTATAATATTGACTAAATGAAATGAAATAGGGTAAGTGTGTCTGCTGAATATTTGAACATGATAATAATTCTAATCATTAGTAGACATTTTATTGAAGTGTCATGTTGTCTTTATTCAACTATTATAATTTTTATACTTATCTAATTTATTACTAATTTATACTTATTAAATATTATCTGTTATCACTCACTTGTAAGGATTATTTGATACATGATCAAATGCTGATTACTTCATGTAGTAGATGTTACTAAAATAGACAACTATACTTACTTTTTCCTGTATTTAAATAATTTAATCTGAACTAACTAGCTAGTTTCTGGCCAAATACTGGTTCAGTACTAATTTAGGAATTTTGCGACAATTAAAATGGAAAGAAAAGAAAAATGGTCTTAAGCTCCTTACTTTTAAAACTATTTTGTTAAATATTTTATAAATTGAATCTACAAATGATTTTTTATATATTCACACTTATTCTAATAAAGAAGAAAGTGTGACTTGTTTTTTTAGTAAGTACTAGCTATTTAAAATTTTATTTATTGTAACTTGAGTACAAACTATGGTCTTAAGTTTACACAAAGTATATGATAAATATTTGCCAAAAAACTAATTACATAGATCATTAAATTATTTATATGTGATCTTTTTTTAATATTATAATCATTAACATTTTATGACTATAATAGTAAAAAAAAAACCTTACACACTTGCCCTATCTTACTTTAGTTTATATTCCATAGTCATAATTAAATGAGATTTCGTTAAAAGTAATTTTTTCTATATATCTCAAAAATTTACAAAATGTGATTTTTATCAATAATGACATAATAAGTGTTTTTGGATTGTATGATTAAATAAATGTTTTTTATTTTAAATTATATGTTTTTCGTAAGATTCATATCATTATATGTTATAAAAGTAAAATTACTTTTTGTATTAAAACATGTATAATTAAACATTTTTTTTATCATTAAAAAAACTGCAAATTTTGAGTTATTTACTTTTAATATTACTGTAAGTTACAAAACAAATTTATCCCAACATCTTATATTCTATGTGCAAATGGCCACCGTTGTTAAGAAACTTGAAATTTTTACGTAAAATTTATTGATTTTATATTTTCAACTTTTTTAAAAATGTAAAAGTATTTTATATTTCATATAATATTTTTTTAAATACTTGACTTTTTCCTTTTATTAAGATTTAAAACTTTTAATATACTTATGATATTCAGAATTTCAAGAATATTTTTTACATAACTCTTTAAAATGTTCAGGAAATCATCCTAGATTCTATAAACATATTAACTCTTAATTGGATTTATATATTTTTTTTAATTTATACTTCTAACTACAAATAAAAGAAATTGGCATCTAGCATAATAGATTATATTTAATAGTTCAGTTATATATACTAATAATTATTTTGATGATATATTTTAAAATAGTTGTTATTTCGTGTATGAATGCATAGTTTTAAAAAATGTCAAACTTTAGCCGATCACATACGTGTTGCATAAAATTGTCAGTAAAGAAATAAGAAAAAAATTTAAATAGAGAATCGAGGTCTAAAATTTCTTGGGGTAGTATCTTATTATTGGTAAATAAATAATCACGGGATTCAAATATTTTATTAGTCAAGCGAGCTTTCTTTATAGGTAATAATGGTTTTGAAGGATGTGGATTTTGATTGAAAATATTTATCAACTGAAAAAAGTAGTTTTTGAGATAGAAGTGGATAGTGAAATTATAAGAGAAAAATTTGCAGGTTGACAGTTTGTTTTGTAAAGAACAGAAATTACAATATATGAAGTATGATTAGTAGAATCGTATAATAAATTATGTTTATATATAATATTTTCATCTACAGTATCATTAGCTCCAAAAGGATAAATAGATTTTTTAAGGATACCATCTATCTGTTCAAATTTGTCAGCTTCTATATCTCTATCGTCATCTGAATCATACTTTCAAAAAGTAAATCCAATAATTGTTTTTGATAGTGGACACTAATTTTAATAATAAATTAAAAATAATATAAGTAAATAAACCAAAAGAATAACACTTATTTTTTTATGACATAAAGTCAAAATACTAGTACTAAGAAATGCACAAAAAATGGAGTACAGCACAAAATATCAGTCTTCATGATTGACATTGGCTAAGAGCAAATAAGAACTTGGTATGCATATAGTTCACAGAGGCAACATATTACATTAGTTAATTATTATTTTTTTTATTTCATGAAATCTCTCAACAACCAATATCTGTTTAGTTAACATATGTTTAAATACTAATATTTTTTTCATGGCAAATAAAATCAGTTACTGAAATGCAAAGTTACTATTATACCAAGTTTTGTTCACATGACAGTGTCTACTATTAATTATCACTATTTAAGCTAATAATTCTAATTAGTATTTATTCTATGAACTACTCATATTCAGAAATCTGTTTAAAATATAATCATATCACTATCATAAATTATAATAAACATTTTCTCCGATATATTATGATATTATTGATACGTTTCACAAATAAACTGTATGCATTTAAAGTATAAATGTAAAAAAATGTAGATTATTGTAGATATTATTGATATTTATCAAAAAGGTTTCTCACAATAGTTATGTTTATAAAAATTATTGATTTTAATTTTTACTTTAAGGGTTTTGTTCCTGGAATGTTAGGTGTATCTCATGGCGCCTTACAATTTATGACATATGAGGAGATGAAGACTTTTTATAACCAATATAGAAGACTTCCTATTGATGCTAAGCTGGTAAATAAGTATAATTGTACTATAGATATATTGTAATGAAATTTAAAGTCTAGTTTTTTAAATATTTTAGGAAACATCAGAGTACATTGCATTTGCTGCAATGTCTAAATTAATAGCAGCTGGTATGACTTATCCATATCAAGTAATTCGTGCTAGACTGCAAGATCAACATCGAGAATATAGAGGGACTTGGCATTGTATAACACAAACTTGGAGGTACGAAGGTGCTGGTGGATTCTATAAAGGATTATCGCCATATTTATTACATGTCCTTCCAAACATTTGCCTTGTTTTGTTAATCTACGAGAAGTTTACCAATACCTAATCTCCAATTTAGTTATTAAGTATAAAAGTTTCTATTGTTTTGTTTTTAAATTTCAATTGCAATTTTTTATTGATTATGATTAAATTACCAAAAATATATATTAGTTTATTTTTATTTAATTGTATGTATAATTCAAAAATAACTTTTATACTTAAAACCCTAGGTTTAATTCGTATAAATATAAATTAATGACTATATCTTAGTTATTAATAAAGTTAGTTGTTTATGATTATAAATAATTTTTCATTCTAAAAAAAAAAATTACATAAATTGCTCTTTAGATTATTCCTATTGTAGAAAAAATTAAACTGTCAATCATTCTCATAGTTATGTATTTATAGACCTGATGTAATATATGTTACATTTTTTTGTTTTCAAATATTTTGTTATTTTAAAACAAATGTTTGTCAAAATTATTGACATTTTTTAATAGATAATAACCACAATCGAATTACAATTACACTTAAAAATTTTTAGTTGTCATTACTCATGCATTTCAGTTTAAATTGAAGTTAAACCAATTAAATAACTTATGTCCTTTTTTGATCCCTTATTGATTTATGAGTAAAATCACTTAAGTAATAAAATTTTAATCATCTGTTGTCGCGATACACTGATAATTGCAGTTAAAATAAACTTAATAAAATGTTTCTACTTAAATACTATTTAATCTTATTTATTATCTTGCGAGTTAAATTATACTTAATAAAATAATAATTTTTATTGTCCATAATGTAGTTATGTAAACATTAATTACAATACTAACTAAAAATTTTAGTTCGTTTTAACATGTCATTTAACAGTGTGTTGCGCTGCTGTCAATAATTAATCAAAAAATGGGTAAGAAATTAAAATAATCATCTAATATATTTATGTACTGCTTAATAAAAAGGTATTATATTTTACAGATTTGAAGGATGGCGAGGGTTTTATAAAGGATTAGTACCAAATCTTTTAAGAGTGGTTCCAGCTACTGTTATAACTTTTGTTACTTATGAAAATTTATCGAGATATTTGTTTAAAATAAATCAAGATACTAGTTAGAAATTATTTTATTTATTTAGTTTAAATAAACTTTATTTAGTTCTGAGTTGCTTTTTGTGTTGAAATATTATTAATTATGTAAATAGTTTTGCTCTTTTCTTTAGTTAATGTAGTCCACTATCATTTTACTATTGAAAAATATTCGTAGACCAAATTTGTTGGTAAATAAATTAAAACTTGAAAATGTTGTTTTATTTATTTGTCAAAAAAATGTTAATTGAAATTAACATGATTCATGTTACAATATCTCCTTTTTTTTACCTATCTAAAAATCTTAAATGTACATGGGATGTAAATAAATTTTCTTCTAATTAAAAAATTCTAAATTTAGTATCTCTTCACTAAAATTTTATTTACATGAAAATTGCCTAGTTATATAGTATGTAATAGCTGACTAACAATGATTTTTTTTTATAGAATTTGTAAGACTAATACTAAAATACTAGAATGTATATTCTAGTTGGACTACTTAGAAAAAAACCTTTTTCTTTTAGTTGGTTATGTTGAAAAAGTCAGAGTAGGCCGAATATTAATAATACAAATTAGAAAATAAATCACGAGAATATTATAATGATATATAAAAATTAATAATAGTTACTCCGTCATACCGTGAATAATGGTAATCGTTCTTTTATTTGAATTTCAATCGTGACGTAATGTAAATCGTGTTGATAACTAAAAAAATATATTTATCAAGGCATAAATAATAAATCATATATTTGTTAGGTTTAAATTTTTAATGTATGTGCATTTCAAAGTATTATTATGGAAATTATAAAGTTATAACTATCAATAAATTCATGGAAAATAGCTAAATGAAGCAATACATAATTCATGATTGTTTGTAGTTTATGAAAAATAAATATTTACCCCTAATTTTAAACGTATTGTCTCAATTGCAAATCCAAATCATATTTATTTAAATATTAAAAAAAAAAATTACACAAGTGTTTCAATAAATCATGAATGATATCATATCTGATCTCTACGAACTGCGTCGGATCTAAGTAACAGGAGTATGGACTGTGAAATGTTACTTAACGTGTACGCTAAGAGATCTAGTAGATCTACTTGTAAAATAAAAAATAGCTTCACGAAACATTTATATAAATTTTGCTTTTGTTATAAAATTTGAGCTAAAATATTTAGAAATGAAACATACTACTATCTATTAATTTATTGGATTGAACAAATAATTAATACATATTAATACCAATATACCAATTCGTGGGTTCGGTACGATTTAAAATTACGGTCTTTTTAAAAAAAAAATTTTTTTTGGAATTATAATACACAACAAAAAAGGTAATAACTATCATTATCATAACTATGTTGACATATACAGACAAGGGCAGATACTTTTTTTTCTTCCTCGCCTTAATCCCAACTACTTGGGGTCAGGCTCCCTTATCCTAAACTTCCACATCACACGATCTCCCACATCATCTACGCTGTCATCAGCTGTCTTCATGCTCTCAAGGGCACATCCCTGGATACGATTATTTTTCTGGTGTCCTAGTTTTATTTATTTCGTAACTAGGAACCCAATCTTTTCTCTTACGTTCGTTTTCAAAAGAATAAAAATTTTTTTTACTATAGTTTTTCTGTTATTAATATATGTTAACATTAACCGGAAGGGAATTTAAAATATTATCATCAACTAGTTTGGAAATAATTGGCTTTATATCTAAAGACTGAAAAAAATGTGTTGTCAAAAATGTTAATACCTATTAATTATTATTATAATATATTAATATTAAATATTTATCAATTAATTGATGTAACCAAACTGTGTAAGATTAGAAAAAAATTGTGTTAACATTCATAATATGACTAATAACATAATCAGGCGAGTGCCAGAATTTTTTTATTGGGTAGGTCCGCAGAAACAGTGCCGGCGCAAAGTTTTGTGGGACCCGGGGCAATATAGTCGTGGGGGCTCCAGTAGTTTTTGTATTATATTTTTTCTCTAAATTTGAGTTAAAAATTTTTTAAAGACCTTTTTTTTAGGCTTAAGACAAAATGGGTGGACTAAGCCAAACGCGGGGCAGGTGCTCCGATGCGTGCTCCGGCACTGCGCAAAAATAATGAGTAACCTTTTTGTTTTACTCATAAACCAAAATCGGGCTGATTGGGCCCCCAAATTTTGTGCAGTTCACCCATAAGTTGTAAAGATTTTTAATTTTGTCACAATATCAAATTTTAATCATTCGAGTTTTATATTACTTCAAACCCCGATGTTCAATAATTAAAACTATGCTACTTATATTATTACTAATATAACTATTAATATAAATTTATCAAATTTATCAATGGCTATTACTTATTATTAATCAAATAATTAGGTAATTATGACTAAGTGAAACAGTGAATTAAAATATAATTAGGCATACTACGAGATTCATTTTTCATTTTCTAAATAAAAATTAAATTTACAAAATATTTGTACAATACATATTTTCAAAGTAAAAATTCCAATTTTCTTTTTTCATAACGGCAAACTCCTCAATTATAACTAATGGATTATCCAGATATTGTCCACTTATTTCCCTTTCAACAGAAAGTAAAGTCAGATTATTCAGCTTACAACTATTCATGGTGGATCTGAGATATGTTTTCACGCGTCTTATTGTTGAAAAACTCCTTTCAGCTGAAACACTAGATACTGAAATGATAATTATAAGTTTAATTACTTTTTTTAATTCTTCAAATCCAAGTTGATAACTTTGTATTTGATAAAATAATTCAGAAAGACCAGAACTAGATGAAAACAATGTTTTACCTAAAGCGCATTGGTATTTTAATTTTCCAATAAAATTATCTGTCTGATAAAATGGAAACGATTTTGCAAAATTTCATAATTTTTCACAGTCTAAAAATTCTTTTGAAGTTTGGTTTAATACACCTAATATTGTATATATCTCACCATTCTCATCAAATCGCTTATTCATTTCAACACTTATAATTTATATATTAAATATTATAAAATATTATTTTAAGATCAGTTTTTTTGTCATCATTTTTACAAATACGTCTTTTACTCGTGGTTGAAGTAATATAATAATCTATACTCATTTACTTCATCTTTGGTAAGATTTTTCATATCGAATAAATAACATGATTCAATTAATAACATAAAAGTATAAATTATTAAATTTATTAAAAAGTAGCAATTGTACATAGCTCATTATATTAAAAATCTGTTTTTTTTTCATCCTCTATAAAGAAGTTTTATAAAAAATTTGTATCTTCAGTAGAATTAATTTTTCGATTAAAATTAGTTTTTTTAAAACTTGGTCCTTAACTTGTTGATTTATTTGAGATGATACTGAGCCAGTTTTTTTGGTTGACAGCCTTAAGTTGTATTTTATAACAGCATGTTTATGCGAAGTAGTATGTTCATGTTTTTTAGTCATATCAGATCCCGATTGAGATTGTGAAATCGCAAGAGGAAAATGACGACAAAAATAACAAAAAACGGCTTTCACCTTAACTAAATACTCCAATCAAGGGTATTTATTATACCAACTGAAAACAACGTTTTTTACCAAAAATAATTGTACGAGGAAAATTGATAACTGGTTGCCCAGCACTTTGGTCGCAATTTGAGCTAATGTCAAATTTAAAAAGTTCATTTGAATTTTTTTGTTTTAAATATAATTTTTGAAATATAATTTCTGATGGGATATTTTGATACAAAAAATGATAATACCAAGAAAAATAAAACATTTTAACATTTAAATATTTTATTAAAATTCTAATTATTCGTTGAGAAAATCTGGGTAGGCCCGGGCCTACCAGGACTACCTACTGACTACGCCACTGAACATAATAGTATTATTGTAGCATACAATTAATTTTGCTTTTTTTAGAATGCAGAAATAATGATGATAATAATATAGAAATATGTAATCATAGTTCTAATTCTAATTTATGGAATTGTGTTGTTATGAAATGCTAGATAAGTACAATTTTTATTCAAATGCTTATCCTGAGCTATACGTTGCATATAAATTCATGTTGACCTCATCAGTTACCCATGTAAAATGTGAACGAATTTTTAAAATTGAAAATATTTTAAATTATTTAAGAAATACTCTCTGATCAGAAATTATCAATACGCAGTATCGCATTACTACTGGCCGTTCTGATCCAGTAGCGGATACGAGTACTGATGAGTATTGATGTATGATTAGGATAACAACGTTTTTATTGTACTGCCTGATCAGTACTGGAGGTTTTGTGTGAACAGTTTTACGCCAGTGCTCTGCCAGCAATGGTACTAACATTATTAGACGGAGCCGGTTCTACTGTAGTACGGGCTGGCCAATGACCAGTTTATGGTACTTTGCTACGCTCGGCTTCCCATCCGCATATAGAAATGTTCATAACTTCTGAAATACTGATTCATAAAATGTTGTACACCAATAATTTTCTTAATTGGATCGTTTTCTACCATTTAAATTAGTAAAATATGTGTTATCATTTTAAAAAATAATGTTGACCCAAGGGGTATTTATTTTACAAATATTTAACCAATTACGAATTGAGAAATGAATACTATTTGAATAATCCAAAATTATTATTTTAAAAGAAATCTAGTGATCAATGTTAAACCAATCACCCTGTTAAGTCGCAGTCTTAAAATGTAAAATCTCAATTTTTTTTAAGTAACGTCATACACAAATTTCGGATTTACTGCTCGTCACATAAACGTATACATTTCTACGTATACAATAATCAAAAGTTTTTACATTTTTTTAAATTTCCACTATATTTATTTAAATAGTTTTCATGGAGTTACTACCCTACTAACCTACTAAGATCCAGACATGATATGTATTTAATATAAAAAAATTAATCAAACAAAATACATAAATAGGCAAAAACAATCTTACTTTTATTTAGTACTTTTATAAAAAAAAAAAAAAAAAAACTTGTCAATATTGTCGATAAAACTTATTTTTCTTGAAATATTTATTTTTCTTATAATTTACTACTTGTTTTTGTTAGTCAGGCAAAATTTTATTTATCCTTAACAATTAT